AACTTATATAAGTCTATAGTTAAGATGGCTGGCTACTGGAAATTGAACTTATCAATGTTTGCTGAGTAAGATTTCTGGGACCAGCTGCTTCTAATGCAACAGCAGGAACTGACAGAGGCTGTGGTTGGGAATATGTGGTGGGATAAGTTAAAATCTAAAAATAGAACGTTTGTTGCTGAACAGTCATCGGCTCAATCTAGACAGATTAGTGGCACAAACAGCTTGTGAGCAAAAAATCTATTAAATCCTGTGATAGTAGGGACATAGCTTTAGCAGAGTTGGCCTCTTTGTTTATCAAGAAGGATCAAGTTCTGGTAGTTAGGGCTAGGTTAAAAAGAAGGTCCTCTGAGGCAATGAATATAGTTGAATTGCATGCAGGGCAACTTTGGAATGCATATCAGCAAACAATCGCATGCGCCACATTGCCGGATAATTGGACCATGACTACAAACACTGGTGTATGCAAGGCTTTTTGTGATTACTTTCAAGATCTCTTCACCAGGGAGCCCGGTCTGAGCACTGCTGTTTGATGCCTAATTAGCAGACTTTTCCTGCCTTGAGACAGCTGAAGTGGCTGGGTGTGAGGATCCCACCACAGAGTTTGGCAGTGCTGAAGCAGGTTGGCTGGGACAAATTTCCAGAATGTACTTGAGGCAGTCGCCCATTTTTGTACCTTTGCTGTCACTGATTTTCAACAACTGGCTGAAGCAGGGGTCTATACATCAACACTTCACCAGGAGTGTGATAAATTTGTTACTCAAGGACAAGAACAGTGGGGATGGGATAGGTAACTTTTGGCCTTCAACAATGTTACAGAGTTAAAAATTTTAACCAAGATCTTAGCCAGCCATTTGCAGGCTGTCCTCTCTAGTTTGATTGACTCCGAACAGACATGTGCTGTAAAGGGCAGGACTATTCAAGACAACCTTCATCATCGAGCAAGTTGACAGTGAAGCTGCGCTGATCACTTTAGATCAGTCCAAGACATTTGACAGGATGGACCATCAATTTTTGGAGGCTGGCTTTCAGCCATACTTTTGCACCTGGATCCAACTTCTGTATGCGTCTCCTAGTACACTGGTAGAAGTGATTGGGGTACAATTGGAGCCTTTCATATTGCCTCATTCCATTCAAGGTTGTCCACTTTCACCTTTGCTTTACGTTCTCGAGTTGGAAACTTTCCTTTGCAAGTTAAAGAATCCGGTCCTATGTGGAATTTCCCTACATGGTGCTACCACCTTGGCCAGGTATTATACCTATGCCGCTGATTCAATTCTTGTGTCAAGCAGATGAAGTCAAAGAAATCAGGATACAAGATGGTAATGGGGGCCAGGATCATCTGCGATAAGTCTGTTGGTATGCAGTTGGGTGTGTGGAAGGGAGTTTCTCTTCCTGGACCTTTCCTCTGGACAGACAGGCCGGTCAAGATATTTGGTGTCTGGTTCTGTCCTGACCTGTTGGAAATGAATTGGTTGAAGATACAAGAGAAGGCAGAGGTCACAGTTTGTCTGTGGACCCAGTGGAATATTTCCTTAAAGGAGAGGGTGGAAGTATGTGTCTCGCACATCTACCTGATTCTCCTTTACTGACTCTCCGTGCTTCCACTTCCATATACCATACTAATGTTCTAAAGGCTCGTTCTTCTTGTGGGAAAGCAAAACTGCTAAGGTACTTCAGATCTGCTAACTCCACCCTTCTGAAGGCAGTCTGGGTATGTCTAATGTTAAGATTTGTCAACATACACTTTGCATCACATTCCTAGATCGAACGTGTCTTTATTCGGATGAGGAGGGCACCTTCTGAAAGGAAGATGCTCATAAGAACTTCCTATCCCTGAGAAGTGTGCACTCATGTGCTGAGAAGCCTGCCTCCCTTACCCCAAGGTGAGTGCTCCTTCTATCATGAAGGTCACATTGCTCTGAAGCACCTCTTACAGGTATCGTATGGTCTCTCCAACATTCAGGCGTTGTCTCGAAAAGCATTATATCAAGTGTTAGTTAGGGGGTCTGTACAAGATGACCTGAGAGACGCTCTCGGGCTTACGAAGCAGGAGGATTGTTCAATATGGCCTTGGGTACCCGAGTTGAAATGTCTCAATAAAGATGAGGCATTACTCACCTGTCTGGCGATTTGCAGGGCCCTCTGGGTTGGCAAAAGACTGTTCAGGTGGCTTGGAGAAATCTCCAAACTGTTCGCTCTGATGGGGAGGTGGAGACACTGGGTCACACTTTCTTTCATTGCAGGCTTGTAGTCCCATTGTGCAAGTGTATTGAAGGCATCATGGGCCGCATGCTGCACAGAAGGTTCTTTGTTCTTGAGGCCAGTTTCATCTGTAGCAGTGTGGTACCACTGTTGACAAATGTTGAACACTCCATGTTCTTTTTGCTTACTAGGTGTTATAAGAGGCATGATTTGGACGATGTATCAGAAGGAATTCTTGCACTTTAAGCATCAGCTTAAAGTCAAGATTAAGACAAAGATGACAGCTCCCTCCATCAGAATTTGGCAAAAGGTGGGCAAGTCTTGTGTGTTTGTGTTGAGTAAAAGGGGCTGACCCGGAGTGGCAATTTGATTCCGGTTAGACATCAGGATATCGTTCTGTTTTGAACATTGGCTAACCCCACCCAGATTTTATGGTTGCATTTTGTCCTTAGTTTCTCCTTTCAAGTTAACTTAGCTAGGGAATGTATACCCATTGGCCTCTTTTATTTCTGTTTTTTTAGTTTAATTCCCCTTCCTTCTCCCATTTAGGTGAGCAGAGATGTCAGTTCTCTGGTGGATGTAGGGAACCTTTTCTTCCAGGTGTGATTTTTGTATATGTTGGGTTTGAATGAGCATTTGGACAAATGAGTGGTTTATATATATATTATATTTTTTTTTTTTTTAAAGTCCTGCATTGATTTCATCCAACTAACTGATGTTTTTGCCACAATTAAGGATTGTGGGGTTTTTTTATTACTAACACTATTATTTTCTATATTTCTTACACACACACACACAAACAGGTGGGTTAAGGTATTTGAGGACATACCTTTTTTTTTGTTATTGCTGCATTCTAAACTTTATATCACTTTTTTTCAGAATATGGCAAAGATTCAGCTTACCCAAGAAATGAAAAGGTATGCTGTAATTGTGGCTTTAAAGGCTGAATATAGCGATTTAGAGATCTTGATTTTTAAAAGTTGCCAAATCTTTTGCCTACAAAGCCCAGAAGGAGTTACAGACTGAAGATTGAAATGTATCACCAGTATCAAAGCAAAAAATGCATTCCAAATGCTCTGACATCTGAAATCTTTAGCCAGCAAATTCAGACCATTGAAACCATTGATGACAATCACAGAAAATCCACGAGGTCACTTGCAAAAGATTTCCATGTGTCAGAAAAAACAATCAGAAATGTTGTCCATGAAGACATCAGATATAAGTCTTATGTGATGAGGAAAGGAAAATTCATGTTAAAAAAAAAAAAAAAAAAAAAAAAAATGCTTAATCAGAACGAAAAAGGCTCTTAAAGAAACTTAAAAATCCAGCAGAAGATGATGTGATTTAGTTTTTCTCAGATGAGAAAAAATTTGACCAAGATCAGAAATTTAACAGAAAAAAAATGACAGGTGGTTATTTACAGACCCTTCTGAAGTTCCAACAGTTATGCACACAAAATTTCCTGCAACTGAAAGATATGGGATGCTGCCTTACTTCTTTCCAGAAGACCTTAGTGTTAAGCTCTGGTTAGACAGTGTACATAATGGAAGGACCTATGTGTTTCAGGAAGACTCTGCACTATCATACAAGGAATGGATGGCTGACAATTTTCGTGATCACATAACATTTGGCCTCCTAACTCCCCAGATTTCAATCCATTGGACTACTATGTGTGGGGCATTGTTGAGAGCGAGATCAATGAACACCACCATAGAGTAATGTCCAATATGAACCAGGGCCATTTAATTCCAGTGTGTAGATGATCCTGCATAGAAGCAATTATTAAAGGTGGCTTTATTGAATTAAATTATAAAAAAAAGATAACATTTTATTCTTATAACATTTTTCAATAATAAAGTTATGTTATACATGTGTATTTCCATAAACATAAATCTGTCCTCAAATACCTTACGCACACACATATATATATATATATATATATATTTGGGCAGCTATCCAATCCCTGTTGCAGACGCCTGCTCAGGCACATTTGTATCAGTTCAACAGCCACAGAGCCCATGTATGGTTTATGTGCAACTAAGTTTCTGGAGGAAGAATACATAATCTGACATAATCTACAGTTTGAAGTTTGTTCAGAAATACATCTGTAAGATGAGTGTAGCCACATCAGTAATGTTGCCCTGGGATCCTTTATTCAACATCAAACTCCTTCACTCAAATTACCCTGCTGGTATATGTGACCGCATGACAAGACGTGTGAAAATATCAATTGCAGAATACAAATGGCTTTACAAGAGATTTTGGAACCCTAAAAAACAGCAAATCAGCTTTTCTCCAGTCAAATTCATCCATGCCCCCCCCCCCCCCATCAGAATGGGAGAATGCCAAATTCAAGCTCCCCCTAATCCATAAATGGAGTGGGTGAGCCCACAGGTGAATTTGGGTGCACAGAATGACCAGTAATGGATAAGCTTCATTCCAGAAAAAAAAAAAAAAAAAGAGTTAATAAGGTCAAACCCTTGTTAATGATAACATGACATTGTGCTAGCACAATCATTGGTGACTACCAGTTCCATCTACCTAATTTCCACACAAGGCTCAATTCAACCAGGGTATGACTTACAGGCTTGCATGTTTATGTATGTATGTGAAAGGCCTGGAAAGGATAAACAGTTTGGGTAGTTAAGTGTGGATAACTTGTAAATTATATCTAAAAAACTGTGTGTGTGCACACGCAGACAACTGTCATGCAACAATGGTTAGAAAGTTAGTGCTAAAAATCAAGTTGAGTGTTCAAGTCTCATTAGGTTCAGAAATTTTTAAGCGTCTTTACTTACTGGAACTCTTTTCACAGATCTAGGTCGAGACCGGAAATTATTTTCCTCCTCTTGAAGTTTCTTAGCAAGTTGTTCATCATTCAACTGAAAAATAAACTTAAATTTAAGACAAAGTATTTTTTGCTCGTACATTTTCTTTTAAATTAGAAGAAATCATCCGAGGGTAAATTTTACTTTTTTTCTAAACACAACCCACAGAATTTTTTTTTTTAATAAAACTAAATTCAAGCTGTGAAATTATTTCAGGTTTTTGTTCCTCAGTTTCAATAAAGATGATTGAACATTTACATAATACTGAATAATTAAAGACAATTCTTCCTCTTATGAGAAACAGCATTTAACAACAAATGACTTCATATTGCTATTAAAAATATAAAAAGCTTGAAAAGAAGTTTGCTTGGAAAGCCAACTCTCGATCTGAATGGGACAGAATTCCCATAAAAAATATTTAGCACTTCCAATTAATTTCTGTAATTAATCCTAATTGTCACCCCACTAACTGTTCAAAAAACACATTAGCTTCAAATAATAATTTTCAATGAAGGTCTCAACTTATAATAAATCAACTTATATATAAATAAAGAGGTTTGTGCACAAGTCAAATAGAAAGGGTTAACTTAAAACAGTTTTTAAATATACTCAGGACTAGATCATGCTCAATTTTGTATTTTTCATCATCAGAAACCAAATCTGTCTTCCAATTATATTTTGTCTCCTTGTAACCTTTAGCAATCTGTCTTATTAATATCACTTCCCTTTCCAATGCATTCTTTTTCAAGGCCTCTCAATGGCAGTGTCCTTATTGTTAATTTCACTCAAATTTTGTTTTCTGTTGCCATAGGACAACACAACTATGAAATTTAAACATTGTTAAGGGATCAGTAACCTTCAGTAGTAGGATAAACTTTTTGTACAGCAAATGAAGACATACAGAGTGATAAAGGTTAAAGACTTTAAAATGAATCCATTTAATTTCACAGTTCACTTTGTGATGGCTAGCTTGAAATATTTATTAATACAATTCTTTATAAATTTTAATGCATAAAACATTCAATTTAAATCTCATAAAAAAAAAATGAAATCTATGAGAAAATGATTGAACCAAATTGATTAAAAAAAGTACACAAAACCAAATAAAGATAATACTTGTTCCTCAATAAATTTGGAATCTTTCATTCTGTAATTATAAAAAATAAATGATGTTCAACAGTTTCCATCAGCCAAAATATAGAATATGTACAGTTGGATAAAATCAAGAGGAAATACATAATGTCTCCTTAATAAAAAAAAAAAAAATAACAGAATATGATTCAGTTGAACCATTCTTGTCTTGTAAATATCAGATTATATAACTGGGAAACTGATTTTTATGCTGTTTTTATTGATTACAAATAGTTCTTACTTCAGAGTCATTTTTTTTGTCACTGTGATGAGACTTGCCATGTTTTTCTTTCTTGCTCTAAAAGAGAAAGAAAAATTCTAAATGTTGAGTAAACAAAAGAAAAAAAAAAAGTGTAAAATCTAAAAGTTAAAAAAAAAAAAAAAAAAAAAAAAAAAAAATCAGCATTTGTTATGTAAGTGAACATTCTTTGATATATATTATGTGAAAGAAAGTGTGAATATTAATGTATACACAACATTCTAAGAGAAAAGCAGTAAATTTATACATGCATATTTTCTGCTATTTTAAAGGCTTTATTTGCTAACCTAAGGTACCAGAATTACAGTAACTGCTGATATAATTAAATTGAAAGGGTTAACTTAAACAAAATTTTGAAATTTATCCAAAGTCGTCATCATCCTCTATATTGTTTTTTTCAGAAATCAAACCATGTTGTCTTCCTAATTATCATATTTAGTATCCTTTCATGGGGCACGGTGGAGTAATGGATAGAAGCTCAGACTGAGGAATCAGAGAGTCAAGTTCGAATTCCAGTTGAATCCATTACATTCACTTATGTGTTAATACCCTTGGGAAAGGTATGAATCCTCCTCTTCCCCCCCACAGCTATGGGTAAATAGCAGGACAGACCGCTATACCCTTGGGTGACAACCGGTCTACTGCAGAAAGAAATGGCAACCTACTGCAAGAAAAATCTGCTTTGTCAGTCATGTATCAAAAGATACATGATCGCCTAAGCATGTATAACACATGGAACATAACTGACTGACATGGAGAAAAAGTGAATTTAAACATCTTAGCCTTTTAGGTCACCTAAAGGCTATTCAAAATTCACATTTCCAGTCATGACTACCTATTAAGATTATAACCAACTAAATCAACAAAATAGACAAATAGTGTTTTCTCTTTCTAATTTATACTTAAAAAAAAAAAAAATTGTACTATTATGACTACTACTAATAATAACAACAGCTACATAAGTGACCTCAGACTTATTAATTAAAATTATTAAATATATTGCAATAATTTAATTTTAATTTTTTATTTTATTAAAACTGCAAGGAGATCCTTGCAGTTTTAATAAAATAAAAAATAATGAATATAAAAAGTTCTGTACAGTTTTTAGTTTGTTTTATTTTTAGCCCAAATTTAACCAATCACATCATCAATTTTGATGATGTCACAATTTTAATTAGCCATTCATAGAAATTTAGTTAATTTAACAATTACCTGAAATTGCTTGAAATATGTCAAAAATTACATTTGCTTTTAATAGGTGTCTATACCTGTTAACACAGTTGAATTCAAAAGTTATAAACCTGCATAAATTTATGTGCATTTTCATCTAAAGTACAAATGATCAAAACCTGTTTATCTTTGTGCATTCAAGCTATATAAACATCTGTTAACAGTCATTTATCAGCTACAAAATCATTGGCCTCCTTTCTTTACAGCTGATTAATAAAAATATCAGCACATGTCAACTATATTACGGACAAGTAAAATATGAATGTAAAATATGTTTCTAAGCAAAAAGTAGGAAATTTTGTTTTCAAAATTATTTGATCTATCAAAAGAAAACTATTTTTCATTAAACCATTTTCAATGTAAATTCTTTACCTGCTGTTGCTTTGTTTCTTTAAATTAAAATTTAAACAAAAGAGAATGACATACACCCAATCAATAGTAAAATTTAATACTCTTGTTTTTACAAAAAAAAAATTTGCATTTAATATAAATAGAAAAATAATTTCCCTAATTTTATAGGACAAATACTTTTCCTAACTTCTAAGAATATTAAAACTTTAATGATTACACTTTCATTATATATTACATATAAATAACTAATATTAATAATGGATAAAATTTCAAGGGTAGGATAGAAGAAAAAAAAAGTAAAGAAAAAAAAGAATACACAAAGTACTTTAGTCAATCAAGTCTGTGGACAGGTAATTTCTTAACTACCAAACTCATCATTTTTCTGATTAATAAATATGAATTAAAAAAAAAAATGAATTAAAAAATGAATGCTCAAACATGCAAATGAAATTACTAAGTGGATAAGCAAACAGATTTTGAACTTGAAAAAAAATTCTAATAATTTGATGAATGTGATTTTGATTTCTTTTGTGGAGGAATTGTGGGTTAGAAGGTTTCAAAACTAAAGCAATTATGATTCCAATATACTTTTACATTAAAATCCAAAAAGGTTTTTAGAATCTACAAACTAATATTTGCATTTTTTTTTTTCATGTTTTACTTCAATTAGTTACCAAGAGCAATCAGATAAAATAGTGGAAACCTGTAGACATAAAAAATTAACATGAACATTGTAAATAACATGTGTCCCCAAGTTTTAGATGATCATCAATATTTTCCTAATAATTTTGAAGCTTATTGATTTTTGAGGGAAAGGGTAGCATTATTGAAATATTTTGATTGATTCATTTTAATAAATTTATCAATCTTTTGCAGGTTATTTGGAATATGCCAAAAAAATTTTTAGATTTTTTTATTTTTTTTAGATAATAATGATCTAGTAATATTTTTATGTATTAACCCATAAACTGAGGAGAAGAGGCATTTTTATTGTGTTTCCAAAAGCATATTTGCATCTATATATATAATGAACCAAAAAAGAATTGGAACCCTGCTATCCAATTAACAATTCCAAGCCATTATCCATTGCATCATTTTTTTTTGCTGCTAAAAAATAAAATTAAAAAACTTTTATTCATTAATCCATTAAAATCTCAAAAAAAAAACAAACTGTAAACATTATTATTTCCCAACCAAAATTCCGCAATAGTAAAAAAAATTTTGCCATGTTTAAATAACCTGATCAAAACTATGATAAGCTGGATAAAGAAATAAATCCAATAAAAAAAAAGGTTAATTGAAAGGATCCAACATGCCTACCAAAGAAAATGGTAGCATTACCTTTGCAAAGTTTTCTTTTGATTTTTTATGCTTATCTCAATATCTAGATATTGGGGGTGTTTCAAAAATGTCTGCATATATATATTTTAAAAATGACAATAGGAAAACTAGTAATTGCTGAATTTTTGTCCAATGTGACTTTTATCAAAGAAAATACAAAATGAATTTAACTGAACAATTTTAGCTTTGCAAAAAAAAAAATGCAGAAAGTTCTTTATACCTGAATGTAGAGAATTAATTTTCATATTGTTAACTGAAAATAAAACCATTCATTTGTCAAATATTGTTGAGAATATTGTCATTATATCTGTGTTGATGTATTCAACAAATTTCATTTGATTTTGTTCATGAATCTGTTGTAACATTTGTTTGTGAGAGCCAAGTTAATTTTGTTAAGAAAGGTGAAAATGGGGAAAAAAAACATCAGTTAGAATTAATATTTGGGTCCCTATTCTAGTGCAGATATACTCTACAGAATTTTCCAATCTAACACTATAGTTTATTTTCTTTTTTTATGAGTAGCATTTTAAAATCAAAATTATGGTTTAATTTATTTCTGTTGATTTTGATTCATAAATTTTGTCTTGTCTACTGGTCTAAATTGGAAATTTTTGTCATTCATTTTATGTATATATATATATATTATATATATAATGTTGAAATTAGATAAATTTCTTTTTATAAAAGGCAGCTGCCTGACAATGGGTATGTCTTGAACAGGAATCTGCAAAGGAGAAATTTACTATAATAAAAATTACAAGCATAACGTATTCCAATTCAAAGTTTCATTCATTACTATAAAACCAACAAAAAATTACATTACCACCTGAGACACCTTGCATTCAAGAACCCAGTGAAAATAAAGAAATCCCAATTTTCTCTGTACTAAAGGTGGCATCCAATTTCCTTGGATTACATACATAGAGAAAAAAAAAATATATATATATATATATATATATATATATATATATATGTGTGTGTGTGTGTCTATATTTAGATGCCCTGTTTGGTACACTATTTACATTATTCGAGTATTGTCCCTCATCTTTGTTGCAAATTTATGCACTTTTTTTTGTTGTAAGAAACTAAGGAAAATGTGATGTTCTATAAAATTTTAAACTTAGAATGTCCTACCTATGCCAGACTGCTGCTCAATTGCTATCTGTATCAAGGTAAAATAATATGGGTTAACCAGTAATAATCTAGTGCCAGAGAAAAGTGATAACAAAAAAAAAAATATGAGCACTACTTTTGGATGTTGCTGAAGACATTAGGTTTATAATACCCAGAAATTCATACAAATGTCCTCATGGCACAGTGGATAAAGGTTTTAGTTTAGATCCAGTGACAATTACCCAAAGAGTTTGAGTTCAATTCACCTGGTTAAGGCAATGGAGAACTTGGAATTGGAATTGTACTTGCATTAAACAGTTTAACTTTTAATGTTGATATGTATCAAATTAGTCCAAATTTTCTACAAAATTGATTCCAATTTCAAAAAAGCAATATCCACCTTTTATTTGAACAAATTGAGTTAACAGTCCAAGCCATCACATCTGTTACCAGCTTTGTAAAGCTGAAAAAACCGCATAAATCATTTTTTTAAATTATATCCTACATTTCCTGAAAAATTTGATTAACTGAAGATAATAAACATTTGCTTTTTGATTATGTTCATCTGTTGAAAAATATTTATAATTTGTGGCTGACAGAAAAAAAAAGACAGAACTAATCTTTTGATGATGATGGAGTAAGTGATTTGCAAAATGGACACATCTTAAACAGTTATATAACATTGAATCTGAAAACTAGTCAAACTTTCAGATTTAAATGAAATTTCATTGCTCCAAAGCCAATGAAAGACAACGGTTTTCTATTGCCTCAGAGTGTTTTCTGAAAAAACATTTGCACAAATACTACACTCAGTCCAGTTAAGTGCAGGTAAGAATGATACTGCCCTTTCATAAACAAGGTTTTACATGGTCAAAAAATTTTAAATCTTAAATGCCTTCAAATTGATAAATTACATAATGATCCTCTACCATATTTAAATCAAATATCCAAATGACACCAGACTTATTTTATCATTGAATTTATCTTGAATGGTTTTAAAAAAA